TAGCTTTGTTGCTATTAATTAATTCTTTGGAAATTTGTTATTTTAAAAAATAACTGAACGTTTTAAACTTCAAACTGACTGTAGGAGTTAACATTAAATATTTTTCAAGTATGAGCCAGGTTGTAGCAGTGCAGGTCTGTGATCCTGTTCACTCTGGAGGTGGAGGGACGAGGATAGCCAATTCAAGGCCAGGTTGGGCAATTTATTGCAACCCTTCTCAAAATAAAAACTAAAAAGGGCTGGACATATAGCTAAATGATAGAACATGCTAGGTTTAGTCCTCAGTACCACAAAACAAATTCTTTCAGTAATGTGTAAATGTCGGAGTAGACATATAATTTTACTGAATACTTGCATATATAAGCACATACTGACATACCCTTGAGTCAGTGTAGTATAAAGTATAAGGATGAATCTTGTTTACTTTGTGCGTGATTTTGTGTCCATTTTGGTAATTTAAAAAAAAAACTTCTAGAACATTATTTAAACTGAAATTCTTATAAATTTATGAACTAAAATTCTTAGGAGCAAGGCCCATCTTTCTCTTGCTTAGTAAAAGTAGCACTGTCTGTGTTCAGTTCATCATGGCTTAAAATAAAAGATCAAGAGAGTGGTCAAGGGGCAGAGAATGTACCAACATTGAAAAAAAAAAAAAAAAAAGGAGAGAGAGAGAAAGAGAGCTAAATAGGAATTATTAGGCCAGGCACTGTATTAATTAGTAGGTAGTAAGTAAAGGAGATACAAAAGAATAATTGTAAAATAATTTAAAACTATGGAAGTAATGCTTATCAAGGATTAGGTACTAAAAGGCAGTGGAAGGTAGAAATCTTCAATAACTCAACATGTAGGATAACTTTTTATTTAAAGCTCTCTATATGTAGCTATATATATATTTTTTTTTGTTAAAAATTCTTAAATACCACTTAAGATTATTAATATGTGATTACATATAGATAGTAGAATTTATATATTTCCTAATTAATATCCTATGCATAGTTTGTATATTACTATAAAATAAATAAATAAAAATTACTGTTAGTAATGATTTAATATTATGAAAGATGCATAATTTGGAGCACATGTGTAATTTAAATAATGCTTAGTTCAAACATTAGCTTAATTAATGAGACATATTAAAAAACACCCAACTTAGTTAATCAACTGTAATTGTTTGATTGCAGATTTTTTCCCACACTGATGGGCAGCAAACTGAGGTAGTGCTATCCAGTACAGTCAACTCTCAATATATGTGGTAATGGGAAACAGCAATGCATGGAGAAACCTAAAACAAAATATTTACACAAGTATCTTTCTGTCATCTGCTGTGGCCTGAGCATGTGCTTGGGTTCATGAGGGAGATTTGGGAGTGGGGCTTAGGCTTGCAAAGGAGCTCTGGAAGTCAGTATTACTGGTTTCCTCAAGGAAATTGAGATATCCTATAAGATCCTGGTTTGGCACTGTGTGGCTGAAATGTCTTGGCGGCAGCCTGCAGCATGTGAGATCAGCTTGGCAATAGCAGTAAGAAGGATGGGAAGACTTTCTAATAAGGAACCATTGAAGAATAGATGTTTAAGTCCTGCACATTGCAGTGATATTCATTGGTATGTTTTTTTGTTAATATACTCTGCAGCAAACAATAATAGTATTAACAATGAGTAGACTTGCATTAGTTTAGATCATATTTGTTTGCTAGGTAAACATGTATTTTACTTGCCACAGGTGAGTGTTATTCTTGAGGCCTTTTCTAAATAAGTGTAAGTTTATTATCTTATAATTTATAACCTTAGAAACCCAGGATAAATTTGAATTATTATTTTTTTTACTATTAGAATTCTTACTAAATATCACTATTGAACCTGTACTTCTAAAAATTTAACTTAATATGCTTTAGTATTATAATGTCAAAAATATCATGAAGGAAAAGGTAATAGAGACTGTGTTATTTGATTTAGGAAAACAGTAGCCATATTTTTTATTTAAAAAATAAATATTTAAAAATATAAGAACTTCAGTAAATGTTTTTTTAAAAAATATATTTTTAGTTGTTTATGAACCTTTATTTTATTTATTTATATGCAGTGCTGAGAATTAAACCTAGTGCCTCACACATGCTAGGCAAGTGCTCTACCATTGAGCCACAACCCCAGCCCCACTAAATATTTTTTAAGACTGATTGATATTTGACTGTGAGTTGAATGAATGTTGAAGCTGCAATAAGTATGGGGTGGTGATGTCCATTGTATTATTTTAATTTGAATATGCTTATATTTTCTATAAGGAAAAAGCTTTTATAACATTGAGATAGGTGATTGCTGAAAACCTCAGAATTTTCTGGGCTAAATTCTCTACTTATTTATGAAATAGATTTAGTGCTCTCAAAGTTTTTATTCAAAGTCCAAATAAAACCACATACATTTTCTAAAGGCATATTTGATTCTATCCATGGTTCAAACTGGTGTGGTAGTGAATGGTAAGAACAACATTAATAGGGCTGAGAATCTAGCAGAGTAGTAGAGTGCTTGCCTAGCATGTGCTAGGCCCTGTGTTTAAGACCTAGGACTGTAACAACCAAAACAAACCAGCCAAATTAATACTTTTTGGTTTTCTTAGCCAGATATTTATACGCTACCTTTATTATTGTGGACATTTAAAAAAAGTTGACTCCAAATATTTATTCTTAGGCAATCATTAGAGGATTTGATTTTCATGTGTATGTGGTATTGGGTATTGAACCCAGGGCTTTGGAAGCATTAATGGTGAGTCAGCTCTTGTGAAAAGTTTGAAAACAATTGCTATTGGAGAGTTAATAATGGAAGGAATAAGCAAATGAATAATTTCTTTCTACAGTTTTGATTATTAACTAGAGCAGTTTTGCCCTTAAGTGGACATTTTACAATGTCAAACATTTTTGGTTTTTATATCTGGAGGTAGAAGGCATGCTTACAGGTATCTACCTGGATGGTTTACATTCTACATTGTTCAGGAAAGTTTTCCCACAGCAAAGAATAATTGGTTACAAAATGTCAACTGAAGTTTAATTTGCTCTAAGGTTTAAATTCTACTGTAATTTGTCAGGTTTGCATTCTTATGTTTTCATATCTGAATAAGTTAAGTGTGTTCTAAAAACTAGGGAGAGCAAAATCAATATCTACAAGAGTATTAACTTCTCTGATGAATTTTCTCTTATTGATCTGACAAGACCAATTATGTAAAAAAGTGTTATACATTGTTTTTATCTTGAAGCACATTTGCTAGTAAGCAATGAAATTATTTTCCTAGCCCATATTTTAATCATTCAGGATGACTTATTAAACTTTATTCATCTTCAATCTTTATTCAATCTCTGAAGTTTAAAATTAAGTCAATATTAATGTCACTAATGCAAGTTTTTCTGTACTGTGCTAGTTCCCTCAAGTAGATGACAAGGAAAGCAAATCTTGTAGCTTACCTATTTATTTATTTATTTTTATTTTTATGCTGAGAATCAAACCCAGGGTCTTGCATAGAAAGAGTTCAGAGACTTATTGCTTCTGGAACAGTCTGTTTCTTGTAAGATCTCTTGGTTGTAGAGAAATGGAAGTCTTTCAATGTGTTTCAAGCTTCATACCTTAGACAGTTTAGAAGGATAAATGATTAGTATGCACTTTTCTTTAAGTGATATTTAATGTCAGAATGCTTATCATTGTTTTCATTGTTACTTCTTGAAGTAGGACTGTGGAGAACTTTGGGGGAAAAAAGTAACCATTAATTGCTGCTTGAGCCAGAAATGGTGGTAAAGAGATGTGACCAGTTTTAGTCAAGTCTTTTGCAGACTCTAATTGCAACCTGCAGGAGAAAAATGCATTTTATGTGGTATTCAGTGCATATTTCGCGTATATATTTGTTTATATAACAAACATGTTTAAAGAAACGGTACTTAACCTTACTGTGTGTACTTGCAGTGTGATGTTTCTGTTGCATTTCATTTAAAGTAATTGCTGCTTATGTACCACTAACTTGCAACTAGCAGTTAAAAAAGTGATGCTTTAATAAATTAATTACCTGAGAAATTTACCCTTTGTTAGCAAATAGAATACTGTAAAGTAAAATACATTGTCATTTGTACTAAATGTTGTTCTGTAATTTAATAAGTACAGATAAATTAATGAAATGTTTGGTAAGCCTTATGTCATGATAAAATATAAGCAAACTTAAGTTTTACTATTAAATTGACTTTTTAGTGTGTATTTATATTTTAGCTCTCTCTCTTTTTAAATGAAAATATATTTAAGCATTAACACAAATTTTGCTAATAAGTTATTTAAAAACATAAGTGATAAATCATTTGGGCTCTCATCATTTTATAAGACTAAATCTTAATGGAGAGTGAAACATGGCATGCTCTAATTCAGGGTTGGCAAACTTTTCTGTAAAGAGGCCAGCTAATAACATATTTTGAGATTTTGTTTGCCATAGTTCTTTGTTGTGATTACTTATCTTCTTATTGTAGTATAGAAGTAGCCACAGAAAAGTCAGCAAGTAGGCAGTATGTCTGTATTCTAATAAAATTACAGAAACTGGGGCTGGGACTGTGGCTCAGCAGTAGTGCACTTGTCTGGCATATGGGAGGCACTGGGTTTGATTCTCTCCACCTCATATAAATAAATGAAGGTCTATCAGAAACTGAAAAAAAAATTTAAAAAAATTACAGAAACTGTAATTTGAATTTCGTATAATTTTCACATCAGGACATTTTCTTCTCTTTTTTTAAAGTCATTAAAATATGTAAACACTACTCTTAGCTTGTGGGCTATAAAATTAGGTGGTAAGCCAGATTTGGCTTGTGGACTGTGGTTTGTTAACTTTTGCAGTAGCCTAAAATTGGAGAAAATCCATAAAGGAGAAAATGTAACAAGTGAATAAAAACAGCAGTGTTAAATCTTTGGGTATTTGTATTTTGGTTTTTGATATCAGAGCATACATTTTTGTGTTGTCTATTTTTTTAATATTATATCTTACAGACAGTTGATATTCATAAAGAGAAAGTTGCAAGAAGAGAAATTGGCATTTTGACTACCAATAAAAACACTTCAAGGACACATAAGATTATTGCTCCAGCCAATCTTGAGCGACCAGTTCGTTATATTAGAAAACCTATTGATTATACAATTCTGGATGACATTGGGCATGGGGTAAAGGTAAGTATAGTTTTTTTGTCAACCAAGTCTTTAGGAAATTAAAAGTTTATCTTTCCTTTAGAGAGGACCAACTCTTGACCCAGTTGTGGTCGTAAGGATTCCTTACTACTATAACTATTTTATCCTTCTTGCTTTTTCTCTTAGTGCTATATTCTCAAGTTTTGAATGGTCATCTTTGAATAAATTGAATTTGCTTAATCAATTATGGTAATATTTCATTCAGATGGAACAGTGTGGTATAATCTTTACTAATCTTTTAATGATTTAATATTACGGATTAAAAATAATTAAAGATGCTATTAAAGTATTTATTTTATCCCAAAAATTTATCAGCAGATTTTTGGCATTAGTTTTTGGAAACAACCCATTAATGACATGTGCTTTGTTTTTTTTTCCTAGTATAATTTTATCTGAGTGTTTTGGGTGAGAATAGTGTAGATAAAAGTAATACGTGAATTAATTTTTCCACTGCTTTTGAGTATGTAGCCATTGCATATTTTGCCTATCTTTCAAGATGTATTAAAGTACCTTGGATGTACATCAAGTGCCATGGTCAAAACTGAGGAGGACTGGGAATGTAGCTCAGTGGTAGAACATACACTTTGCCTGTGTAAGGCCCTGGATTTGATCCCCAGTACTGCAAAATCTCTCTCTCTCTCACACACACACACACACACACACACACACACACACACACACACACACGAATGAAAGAAAACCAAAAAACACCAGCCACAACACAATAGCATGTGGATTTCTTTTAAATTGGTATTTGTACTTAAAACATTTAGAGCCTCAGCTAAGCACTAAAATTTATATTTAATCAGGGATTTAAAAGATAATGGATTGGGCTAGGGTTGTGGCTTAGTGGTAGAGTGCTCGCCTAGCACATGTGAAGCACTGGGTTCAATCCTCAGCACTACATTAAAAATAAAAATAAAGGTATTATGTCCACCTACAACTAAAAAATAAACATTAAAAAAAGACAATGACTTATCAAATATGACTTTGAGTATATATGGATATATGCCTATAGTGAAACTCTATTGTTCATGCAGTTGGTAATATAAACATATAAGTATATATATTTTAATATATAGTTTTTAGTTGTAGTTGTCAATACCTTTATTTTATTTTATTTTTATGTGGTGCTGAGAATCAAACCCCAGGGTCTTGCACGTGCTAGACGAGTGCTCTACCGCTGAGCCACAACCCCAGCCCCAAATATATATAAACATATTTAAAAAATACATCTATACTTTTATGGACATAAGTCAGTTAAATATAAATTTTATGTAAATTTAGGTACAAATTTAGTTTTAAAATATTTTCCTTCAGAGTTTTGAAAACATTATTATCTGGAATTTGATACTTATTTTTATAATTGATACCTACATGCATCTTAATTCCTAATTAGAACATTTTGAAATAGGATATACAATTGAATGGTTAATTAATAACTGAAATTTATTCTAACTTGGGAAAACTTATTCAATGCTAACAACTTCTAATAGACTGTTTTAGGATACTGCCAGAATCTAATGCCAAAAGACACTTGTAATGCAACAAATTTACATTTGTGCTTGTCTATTTATATAATTAAAAGGTGATTTCCTTCCAGTGATTTTTTGTTTACTCTTCAAAGTAAAATGTTATTTTTTTAGGACTTTGTAGTCCCTTCATTGTATTTTAGTGTTCAAGGATCACTAATTTGAATAAATCTTTAATGAAATTAAGTTTTTGATGAAAATAATGTTTTAAATAATTTCATCAAAGAAACTCTTGTTCATGACACATTCTGCTTTAACCACTCTTTCTATGATCTACTGAAACATTATTTTGTTAATGCTGAATGCTTAACTTGTTTTTCTGTTTTTTTTTCCTTTCTCTTCACATCCTGAAGTTCGAACTAACCTTTCAATGCTTTTTTTCCTTACCTCTTTTATTTGCTCCATTTATGCATTAAGTGGTTGCTTAGATTTAAGGTAAGAGATTCCAGGGCTGGATTTCCATTCTTTGTTCTTATGTAGAATATTACATATGGGGAGCAAAAAGATATTTGGTGCCTGGCCTTTTAAAACCAAAAAAAAAAAAAAATCTGTTTATTTTATTTTTGTCATGCAGCTTTGTATATGTCTTCATGTTACTTGAGGTTAGATATTTTGTCTGTTTCCTTCACTGCTTTATCCTTTGTGTCTAGAATAGTGCCTGACAGACATCAGGTGCTTAGTAAGTATTGTTGAATGAATGGTTATTTTGTAACATTATTATATTTTGTGAAACTGAAATGTAAGCTACTCTATCATAAAATGTTATTAGGAAATAAAATTAGCTGGATTTTTTAAGTGTAAAAATTTGTTATGGATTGGAGGGCCAACATATGTGTTGTATTTAAACCTCCCCCTGTGTAATAGCCTTTTTATTCTATAAATGGTGTGCTTCACTGTATACCTTTTGGACAATTTGTCATTTATGATTATTAATTAATATAAAGAAACTGAGAAACACAAAATATTCAGTGTTATGTGTTTAAGTTGCAGTATCATGTATCTTACAAAAATGTCTTTTTTCAAATAACTGTATAAAATAAGTATTTTGATATAAGTTCACTTTAAGAGTTTTTAAAGGTGAATATTGATTGTATATGAAACAGCAAAACTCATGGTAATATTTAACAAATTACAAATTAAAAATTTGAGATCGGGACTGGGCGTATTATTGAGTGATAGAGGACTTGGCTAGCATGTGTGAAGTCCTAGGTTTGATTCCCAGCACTAGGGGAAAAAAAGTAATTTAATTAGAGATATATTCCTGTTGTGATTTGTTTCAGTAACATTTTATTATTTTGGAGGATTAATGTTAAAATAATTCAACTATATTCAGGAATCTGTCAAATAAAATGTTTAAAAATTTTTTTGTAGTTGCAGATGGACAGCATGTCTTTATTTGTTTATTTTTATGTGGTGCTAAGTATTTAACTTAGTGCCTCACATATGCTAGGCAAGTGCCCTGTCACTGAGCTGTAGCCCGAGCCCCCAAATAAAATGTTAATAAAATGATTTTCATTGGGCTAGGGTTATGGCTCAGCAGTAGCGCACTTGCCTGGAATGTGTGAGGCACTGGGTTCGAGTCTCAGCACCACATATAAATAAATTAAATAAATAAATAAAGGTCAATCAACAAATATTTAAAAAAAATGATTTTCACCAAACTTAGTATATGTTTCTCTTAGTTATTTTTTTATTTTTTAATAGTTTTATTTTGTTTATTTTTATGTGGTGCTGAGGATCAAATCCAGGGCCTTGAACATGCTAGGCAAGCACTGTACCACTGAGCCACAACCCCAGCCCCCTCTTAGTTATTTATTAAACCAAATTTTATAATATCTTTTCAAGTATTTTTTCTATCTGACATCCTGTTGTTTCCATGTCTTCAGCATAGTCAGTGGTAACCATTAGACAAGATGACTGAATTCTGAGTCATTAACTAGTGTTAACTATGGTCACAGAAATTTCACCTGGTTATGGTAGATAAGGCTGACTAGAGGAGCCCAGGCAGATGTATACCTTGTGTTATTGATGGGCGTTGACTTTGAACCTCAGGTTAGGTGAGTTAGGTATGTGGAATTGTGGGGAGATTCTGATTTCCTTATAAATGGGAAGACCCAAAAGCAGGGTATGTGACTGTCTTCATCCTTTTCCTCTAAAGGCTGGCTTTAAATTTTGGTTATTAATGTGTTAACTTCCAAAGTGATAGAGGTACACAGAAATATTAACTGAAGAAAACACAGAAATAGATCCTTTACCTGTAAGATTTAGATCAGTTGTCTAACTTGCTATGCCATACTTGTTTCCCACTGTGATTCCTTCTTAACCTTCCTGAGTTCAGGGTCTGTTCTCATGTAGGAGACAGGTCCAAATGAGGGGCTCCTAGAAAGGTCTAACAAGGAATTATACTTAGATGACATCCCTTAACATCACATTTAGATAGTAACATCTTTTGCTCTTTGCACCAAAAAGCTCTACTCTAGGAATCCAAAGAATTATGCACTGAATGGGAATATAGTGGAGAATAATGCTGGACAGAGAATGAAGGTTCAGAGGTACTTGACAAGTTTTATCCCATCCTCTATTCCATATACAGACATAACCTACACATATTCCTCTTTGTATTTAAAAAAAGTTTTTTTTTTTTTGGAACTAGGCTTTGCGAATGCCAGGCAGATGCTTTGCAACTGAGCTACATCCCAGCCCGAAAATTTTTGTGTTTTTTAGTTTTTTAAGGTGGACATAATATCTTTATTTTATATTTATGTGGTGCTAAGGATCGAACCCAGTGCCTCGTGCATGCTAGATGAGTACTCTACCACTGAGCCACAACCCCAGCTTCTTCTCTTTGTATTTTTAAATCAGATTTTTTCTTTGTGGTGATGAGATTGAACCCAAGGCCTTGGCATGCTAAGTGCACTTTTATTTTTTTAAGTGGTGCATTAAAATTATACATAATAGTGGGATCATAATGCCATGTTCATATATGCACCTAATTGATTGTTGTTATTCCTCAGTACCTTCCCTTACCCTTTCCTCCTTCCTTCCTGGATTTGCTTGCTCTACTTAACTGATCTCCCTTCTCTTGTTACTGTTATTTTAATTAGTGCATTTTCTCACATATATATGTGATTCATTGCAGTATATAGTATATATACACAATTTGGCAGATTTGTTCCCTAGTACTTCCCCATGCCCTTCCCTCCTCCCCCTCTATCAATCCCCTTGCTCTCCTCTATTCCTTTTCTTTTTTAATTTAATAGTGTAGCTCAGTTATTTCTCTCTGAAACTTTCTAACAATTTCTTCGAATATTGGTATTTCTTTTTTTGTTTGATTTCTATAGAATTTGTAAACATTTCTTTTTGTTTTAAATATACTAGTAATATTTATTACTTTTATAGACCATTGTATTCCCCAGACTCTCTCCTTTATTTATAGGCCTATATTCTTATACATAATAGTCTGGTAGGTGATTGAGAAAATGAGGGATATATCACATATTATTTTAGAATACATCTACTTCTGATCTGTTGCAGTAGATCATCTGTCAGTAGGAGGTGATGACTTCTGTGAAGTAGAGATAATTGGCTGACCAGCGTTAGAAATAATGCTTTAGAAGTAATCCTCTGAAGTTCAGAGAATGCTAGAAAACCCTGCCATTTTAAATCAAAATTATATGGCCATACATTACTTAATAATAGGGATATATATATATATGCCATTAGTTAATTTTGTCATTGAGTGAACATCATGGAGTATACTTACATCAACTGAGGGCAGTCAGTTATTGAGTGAAACATTGTTATGTGGTACAAAACCATGATATATCAACATTCAGGAGGTATTGAATCAAGCACCAGAAGAATATAGCAGGAAAGCTGGGAGTACTCTAGAAATATTAAGGTATAATAATTGACCTGATGTGTAGAGATCTCCAAACCTTATGAGACCTGATTTTTGGTAATAGGGGAACTCATACCTTCAGTATCATTTGCATTCCTTTATCATAGGCCTAGAGGAAGGTATTGAGGAATGGCCAAACATTAATCTTCATGACCTAAATGAAATATTTCTTCAGTTTTGAAGGTGTCTCTCCAGTAAAGGGATGGGGGGAAAGAAGAAGAAACTTTTCCTGCTGTTTCTCCTTGTGCCTGATACTTTCTTCACTTATCTCACAGGGATTTTTTGCTTTTTTGCAATAAATAATACAATATTTGGAATACATAATACAATTATTGTTGTCAGCCAGTATAAAGATTCATTCCAATTCACAAATAAAACTTTGAAAAGTATAATGAACACTACTGTTCCTGATTCAGGACCATTAACTAGACATTTATGTGCCAGATGATAATTCTGCTATATCTCCCCATCCTGGATGCCCTTCTGGGGTCTTGCTATATTGTCCAGGCTAGACTCAAACTCCTTGGCTCAGGTAATTCTCCCACCTCAGCCTCCCAAGTAGATGGGTTTACAGGTTTGCATCACCACACTTGGCATTTTAAAAAATATTAAAAAAATATTTCAAGACTAATTACCATTATGAAGCAGCTCTAGTCTTGCTTTGTCTTTGTTCAGAGTTGTTGGTGTAAGCCTATGTACATACACATACAAATGTTGAAGTTCACCTCTATCAACACACAATGTAGTCAAGTGTTTTGCTTAATTATAACACGTTCTCCTTTTACACAGAAATTGTTTTGTTTGGCATTTATCTATCTATCTATCTATCTATCTATCTATCTATCTATCTATCTATCATTTATTTATTCATTTACAGTACAGGGGATTGAACTCAATGGTACTTAAACACTGAGCCACATTCCCAGCCCTTTTTTTTGTATTTTATTTAGAGACAGGGTCTCCCTGGGTTGCTTAGGGCCTTGCTAAGTTGCTGAGGTTGGCCTTGAACTTTCGATCCTCCTGCCTCAGCCTCCCAAGCCACTGGGATTACTGGCATGTGCCACCGTGCCTGGCTTCTTTTGGCATTTATTTCTGTCCTATTTCTTTAATGTAGGTGGCAGTATTTATATTCCATGTGGTGTAATTATTGTTTAAATTAGCACAGAAATATTTTTCACAAAGAAAATGGTCTTTGGAAAACATTGCAAACTCTTTCAGCTTGTTTGAAAAATAATACAGTATCAGTGAAGTATAAAATTAGATTGGATTTTACTCAGCATCTTTTTGATTTCTTAAGTGATTTAAGTTACTCATCTAACTCATTAACCAAACAAGTACAATCATTTGAGGATTCTATGGATTATAAAATATATTGAGTTTTGTTTGTTTAGATGTCCACAAGACTTTAATTTATGGATTGTTAATTTGAATCTATTTTTGGAGCAGGTTCTAAAGATACTGCAATTTTAAACAAAAACACTCATATACCAAATCCTAAAACAAATCATATTGGAAAGTTATTTTCAAGTATTTTTGCTATCCCATGTATAGAATAAAATTCTTTTTTTTTTTTTTTTTTTTACTCCTTTTCTATTCTTGCTCCTTTTCCTTCCTGTTTCTAGCAAATTGATTTATAGTTTAGTGCTTGGTTCACTTCTCCCTCATCACTTATAACTTTGGGTTTTATGTTGTTTAAGGTTGAGCTTAAAGGACTTTGGTTACTACACTTTAAAATCTTGTGGTATCATTGAATGAAGATCTACAGTTTTAAAAGCTATATTGGTTATTTGTGAGATTATTCTTAAAATTTTCCTCAAATGTGGATTGATTAAAAAAAAAACCTTCTAGCATTTTCATTGTAAGATATAATTAGTATGCCCTCTGATTTTTAATGAGGAGGAGAGCAAGGATAAGTTAATTTTTATTCTTACTTGATAATTGGTTTGTTTTGTATTTATGGTTTAAAAGCGGCAACAAAAGGATTACAGATAAATGCTTCACTTTAATAATATTGATATTTCAAGGTATCATTTGTCATTAAAGATTGTTTTAACATCACACACAACTTGTTCACTGGGCTATTCATTTGAAGAATTTGTTTCTTGATATGTTATTTCTTGCCTACTCAGATAACAAAGTAGTATTTTAGAATTAAAAAATATCACCCAGGCCAGAGTTGATTTTGACAGCCTTGATACATCAGTATGCAATTATGATTTGTTTTTTTAAAACTTACATTTTAAAATTGAAATTATAAATGTATTCTGACTTCATTGATATAATATCTTACAGCTTCATTTTACAAAAGTAATTTGAATACTCAAAATATATTTTTATTAGAAAGTTAAAATGTTTTTTTTGAAGTGTGTTTTAAAGCCAGCAGTTTATAATATTAGAGGATTAAAATAGGGCCAGGTGCCCATTGTGGGCATTAACTTAACCTATTGGTAGTCTCAAACAACTTGAGATTGCATTTGAATTGAATTTGTGAATAACTTCTGTTAGTTCTTTGTAAGATATTCAGATTGCTAGAAATTTCTCTTTTTCCTTTGGTGACATTCGTTTTTCCCAGATTATTCATGTTTTCTATACTTTTATGTTCAATTGAGAATAGAATAGTAAGTAGAGTCATGGTCCAACTCTGATAAAGGACTATATCACACCTTCTTATGCCTGAATTAACCTTTAGTTTGGGCCTGAGTGGCCAAATTCCCATTGGAAGCAGGATATTGCCAGTGGCCCTTTGTGCTACTCATAGTTGAATGAAATACCTCTGTCCTAACTTTCTGGTTCAGATGTTTGAGAATATGCCTTAATTTCTAGCAGTTGTCAGGTAGGTCATTTCCTCATAATAGAACATTAAAGAAATTCGAGTTGTGAGGGTGATCTGCAACTTTAAAAAACTAACGTGTTCTTTCTATATATCATACAATTTATTTTATATCCTCTAATTACAGTGGATCATATGCATAGTTGGGTATTTTTAGTTGGGAAACGTTTTGTTTTATGTAGTTACTGTCTAAAGGAAGCTAACTAAAAAATAAGGAATTACTTAAAGACTTTATTGTTTCTGATTGTTATTTTTTATTAAAAGTAAAAATTTAATAGCAGTTTCTTCAGTTGAATGTAACATCATATAATCTAACCAGTGATCTGTTGGTGTGATGGCCTAATGGCAAATAAATTCTTTGCATACAAGTTTATAATCATTTGAAAATCATGATAGGAAGAGTCCTTTGAGTACAACTGTAGAATAATAGTAGATTAGAAATTGCATATGAAATGCATGGCCTCTAATTTTTTTCCTGTATTTAAACCTTCCCTTCCTTTGTTAAATAGCATAGCATTATTTCCCCCCCCCAGTACTTTATTTCACTGCATGCAAGTTAAGTTGAGTTTTCCTCGAAATTTTTTAGGTGAGTACCCAGAATATGAAGATGGGTGGGCTGCCACGTACAACACCTCCAACTCAGAAACCCCCCAGTCCCCCTATGTCAGGGAAAGGGACACTTGGGTGAGTATATAACTAAGTATAATAGAAAATAATTTCATGCAGTGTTGTGTTAAAAATGATTTTTAAAAAATATTTCCAAAAATGATTTTTCCCCAGGATTATTTCTTGGGTTTGTAATTTTTCCCTTTTTCTGGGAAGCACATCTTTATACATTAAAGATATTTGGTTAGAAATTATTTTTCTAATGAATTTTAAATTGAGATATAATCCTAGCCCAAGTTCATGGTTTATTATAAGGTGCAGTCTTTTTTTTTTTTTTTAAAATAGTGCTGGGGATCAAACCCAGGGCTTCAAATGCTTGGCAAGCACTCTTCCACTGACCTACAGCCCAGCTCCTGAAAATTGCCATCTTAATCATTATACTTTTTGTTTTTTTAGAAATATTTTGAAGTCCTTTTGTATTATAGTTGTATTGGATTACCCTTCCCAAGAAGGCTGTATAGATTATAAAATTCAATATACCTTGTTATGATACTGTTGAGTTTTGATTTAGAGCTATAGAATTGGGCTCTGGATTTAACTTTTGGCAAAATGGTCAATTAATGGAAAAGCTTGACTTTTTTTCTTCTGTAACATCATAATGTTAGTTATCATGATTGAGATTTATGATCAGGTGGGCATAAAATATAGCCCAGAAGACAGTTGGCTAAAGTTCTGGCTTACTGCTTGCCCTGTGGTCCTTTATATTCAGTCTCTCAACAATTCAGTTTTTTCATCTGTAAAAGGGGGTAATATTTATTTTCTGTTACCTTTTCAGGGTCACTATACCACAAATTGGATTTTTAAAAATATATAATACAAAGACAAAATGCTTTGACAACCATTGGCTTTATGATATATACTAAAAGTTTTAAATTGGCAATCTTGTTTTTGGCCCCCTCACCAAAAAAATAAATAAAAGTAAATAGCAAAAATCCCAGTGTATGTACATACACACACACACACACACACACACACACACACACACACACATACACATACACATACACATACACATACACATATACAGGAACCCTCTTCCCCTGACACAAAACAAAATAAATAAACCCAAAACAAAACCAACCACTGTAGATCAGGATGGGACAATAATGAATTGGGATATAAAGGAGAATATTGTTGGAAACAGAATGAGAATAGGAGAAGACAGAATAAACATGATTATCAACCAGGAGTAGAATGGTTTTATGCTAACAACAGAGAGGAAACAATCTAGTAGATCAAGTAACATTTAAACTTCAGGGTAGAATTAAGATGATGTTGTAGGGTATTGGTGCATGGTAGGAGTAGAATAATATGGAAGAACTATTTATTTTTCTGGAGAATGTTTACATTTCTGTTATATAAAACATCTAATGGATATGATTAGGTTTTAAATCAAGATTATTAGCAAGATAGCCTGTGTAAAATAAAATTTTAGTTTGCTCTGAAAGTTTGATGATTTATTCATGTATCAGTATTTATTTTCCTTGGATATTAGCAATAGTTCTGCAAGATCTTAGAGACCAGAGTTGATGAGCATCTCTCGGTCAGTTGATGGTCACAGCCTAATTTTTTTTTTTTACAGTCTTTGTCTTTATCATCATATTTTGTTGTGTATGTATGTATATATTTATTTATTTATTGGTACTGAGGCTTGAACCAACTAAACTACATTCCCAGCCCTTTTTATTTTATTTTGAGACGGGGTCTTGCCAAGTTGCTGAGACTGGTCTTGAACTGGAAATTCTCCCATCTCAACCTCTGGAGAAGCTGGGATTACAGGCATGAGTCACAATGCCTGGCTCTAAAGTATTTTAAATCTAGAGTCTTGACATTCTTTTTTCCCCTTTGAGCTACTCTCCTATCCAGCACCTTATCTATTTTTAATTATTAATATGTGTATTTATGCAGGGAGACTTTGAGGGTATTAGAATCACAAGGTCATTTATTACAAAATGATCTCATTCAAAATCATTGATCCATAACTTGAGTCGTCCAGGGGAGCAATACTTAGAGGAACTCTGGGAACCTTTTGGGAAGTCAGTTATTGAAAAATATATGTCATTTGAACAATATCATTTCAGGAGAAGAAAGCTTTTTAATTTTTAAATATTGATGTTCCAACGTTTGTTCTTTTAAAGACCAAGATCTCATCTATAAGATGTTATTTATTATTATCATGAAGATTCAAAAACTTCAAATAGAGAATTAATTTAATAATAACTAATGTTGCACTGTGAATTTTACTACCTATTTTATTTTCTTAATCTTATCATCTTCTTCTCTAAAAGGGAAAATATTGAAAAAGAGGGAAATGTATGTTAATATCAGTCTGGTTTGTGTTTTACAGTTAAAAGTAAATAATGTAGAAGGATTTAGGTGGTCTATTAAAATTTTTTTCTTGCCCTTGTAAATGTTGAATTTGGAGAAGTTGGAGAGAAACTAAGGTGAAAGTTGAGGGAGAAAGTAAGGCTGTGAGAATGGCAGATGAGATTAACAGAGAAAGGGAAGTGAATTGTTGGGACTGGTATTGATCATCAGAGTGGGGCTTGTGATTCCAAAATCTGGATTTCTTGTGTCTGTCTTTGAACATTTTTGGTTTAGGGAGAGAGGGGAGAGGAAGATGGTGCTTCATGCAGTGCAACGGGATACTTTGACATGATACTAAAATAATTCACACTTTTTCTAAGAAAAGAGTAGAGTAGGAATTATTGGCTTCAATGGTGGAAAACTCTTGGGATCTCTGAAAATAAAGGAACAGAATTGGATTAGCACAGGGAAATGAGGTTGGAAACTGAAAAATAATAGTGCATACTTACCAAAACCCTAATGTTGGAGAAGTGATACTTTAGGAAAGACTAAAATTGGTAGCTGGGTTAAAACACATTTCCTATTTCTGATTGTAAATTGTACTTCACTATTGGCAGCTCTTGGAATTTATTGTGCCGAAACTTGCTTAATCACACAATACATACGCTCTTCTTTTTGTAGGCGGCACTCCCCCTATCGCACACTGGAGCCAGTGCGTCCTCCAGTGGTACCAAATGATTACGTACCTAGCCCAACCCGTAATATGGCTCCCTCGCAGCAGAGCCCTGTGAGGACAGCTTCTGTGAATCAAAGAAATCGAACTTACAGGTATTTTCTCTGCCTCAGCACAAAATGTGATGGTCATAGTACCATATTCTGTTCAGATAACTTCAGTTAAATCTCTCTCATTTTCCAAGTGCTAAGTTCTAAGTTCTTTTCCTCACTCTACTCTCCCAAACCTCATCTGATTCCACCTCTCTCTCCTCATGTTCTGATGTAACTTTGAGCAGCCAGGAAGTAGAAAAAGAACAGACATTTCAAAGTGCAAACTTCTCTACAAAGATAATAGTTCAGTTGAACTGGAAAAAAAAATAAATTATGGACTAGATGCGGAAAATTTCAAGTTGTTTTTTGGTGGAACTTTACAGATGAAAAACTACACACGACAAAACACTAGTATGGGATAGTATATCAAGATATCGTTACAAGTTGAAATAAGATAATTTGTTCAGAAAAATGTTTTTATTGTAAAAGAAGTTTCTTCAGATGGGCATTAAACTGGAATATAAGAAGGTAATATTTGTTATTTTGATTTGTTGAGCTCCAACATTTATGGAAAATTTTTGTCTTCTTTTTCAGTTTCTTTAATACAGCTTATTAAAAGTTATCAAAACAAGCTAACTGAACTCAGCTCTCCCTCAACTTTATTAAGAAATTCATACTTGAAGGGGAAGGTTTTTGAATTGTCTTTCTTATAGCTATTTTCATTTCAGCAATTTTTGGGAAATGCTAATGATATATTACTATATAAATACTCATATTTTGGTGGCTTTTATTTCTTTAGCAGCAGTGGGAGTAGTGGAGGAAGCCACCCAAGTAGTCGGAGCAGCAGCCGGGAGAACAGTGGAAGTGGGAGTGTGGGGGTTCCTATTGCTGTTCCTACTCCATCTCCTCCCAGTGTGTTTCCAGGTAAAACAGTATCATTGTTTTTCTTTTGTGAATTTTACTTCAATTTTTAATGTAATTATAGTAAACTTTCTTCTTAATAAGGATTTTTTCTTCTCTTAGAACTTCATGAATTTTGACAAGTCTTTATGTATTTGTTATTTTTAACCAAATTATTTGTACAATTTTTGCTTTTTTTGTATTTTTCTATTATTTTTAAAAATATTTTATTTTAGTTGTAGGTGGACATAATACCTTTATTTTATTTATGTGGTGCTGAGGATTGAATCCAGTGCCCCATACAAGTGAGATAAGTGCTCTACCTCTGAGCCCCAGCCCCAGCCTTGTGCACTTTTCTGTTATTTGATTTTATCCCTTTGGTGCTGTGGCTCAGTTGGTACTTTGATGCTTCAGGTGCTACTTTGGTATGAGTTAATGTTTAATTCGAGCTAGTTTATGACAGTGTATATCTTTGGACACAGGGGGGACTTGGCATGAGAATCATACTGGTGATAAAGGATGGCAAAATAGGAAAATAGTTTTGACTGTAAAATTTAGTGGATTATTGGAATTTAATAGTCTCTGAAATGCTATCCTTTTTTCTCTGAAATGAAAAAATGTGCTTATTTGACCTGAGGATATACAAAGTTAAAAGCATGACTCAAAAGACATCAGGATAGATTATTAAATATTTAGTTTAGTTATAACGAGTACATAAGACCTGGTTTGTTTTGTTTTTGTTTTTCATAACTCAGGTTCAAATTCAGATCCTTGCACCAGATAGGCAAGCATTTCATCTCTGTGCTAAACCTCTATAGTCTTTAGATAATAAAATAAAAAAAATCATGAAGGGTTAGGGTTGTGGCTCAGCGGTAGAGCGTTCGCCTAGCATGTGCAGGGCCCTAGGTTCCATCCTCAGCACTATATAAAAATAAATAAATAAAATAAAGGTATTGTGTTAAACTACAACTAAAAATAAATATTTTTTAAAAATCATGAAAAAAACTTGTTTAAGTTCTTTTTTTTTAAACATAATTTTACCTTGAGTGTATATGTCTTTTTTTCTGATTTATATTATTCAAATGGAATACTGTTCTTTAGTTTTTTTTTCCTATTTATGGTATTTTATACTAAAATTAACAATGTGTGGGGAGCTCTTTTCTTCCAGATTGTGGTTTTTGAATAAAAAGGAAAGTTTGTTTTTAATGAATTAAAATTTTTGTACATTATCCTGAGCATCTTGAATTATTTTCTGCATACCTAATAACCTTTAACATAAGCCTCAGTCTTCTTTTTTTTTCCATCTCCCTATTCTTTTGGTTAATGTTAAAGCACTGAATATCTAACGTTAGATACTCTAATGCCTTTTCTAATCCCGCTTAAAGTGACTGCCTCATTAATGCTGCCTCTTACTCCTCTTTCCCCTCAGCCCCTGCTGGCTCCTCTGGCACTCCTCCCCTTCCTGCTACTTCTGCATCTGCTCCTGCCCCTCTTGTTCCTGCTACTGTTCCCTCCTCCATTGCCCCAGAGGCTGCTGCTGGGGGTGCCCAGACCCTTGCTGATGGCTTCACTTCTCCAACTCCCCCTGTTGTTTCTTCTAATCCCCCTACAGGTGAGTATTAGCTTATTTCTTTGCAGGTAGATCCAGTCATTTGGCTATTCTCTTACTTGGATCTCCAGCTTCATGGTTTTGTTATTGTTTGTTTGTACTACTTATATTAAAAAAAAAAAATACAAAGACCTGTAATCCCAGTGACTCAGGGGGCTAAGGAAGGAGGATTGCAAGTTTAAGGCCAACTTCAGTAACTTAGTAAGATCCTGTCTTCAAAAAAAAAAAAAAGCCTGGGGACTTAGCTCAGTGGTAAAGCACCCCTGGGTTCAATCCCCAGTGCCCCCCTCACCATAAAAAAAAAAAAAAAGATGAATTCTAATAGAAAGTGTCATGTAACCAAGAATTAGAATTTCTTGAGAAAATCATGATAAAGTGTCATATGTTTTTCTTATAGGGTAGCAAAAGTACACATTTTTAATAGCTTAAATTTCATTCTATTAAAGATTTATGAATTTAGTGTGGTGCTACCTTCTATACAGTTTTGAGAGGTTGTTGTTAGAAATATTGTTATGAGGCTAGGCACAGTAGCGTATACCTGTAATCTTAGCAACTCAGGAGGCTGAGGTAGGAGGATTATAAATTAGAGGCCAGCCTCAGCAATTTAGTGAGGCCCTAATAAGCAATTTAGTGAGACCCTGTCTCAAAAAACAAAAAGTGCTGGGGATGTGGCTCAGTAGTAAAGTGCCCCTGGGTTCAATCTTTAGCACCAAAATAAACAAACAAATAAGTAAGTGAGATAGAGAGAGGCTTGAGCCTAGGAACATGAAGTTAGGGTATACTGTACTGGCTTCCACCTACATGCCTTTTAATACCATTCCAGCCCTTAAACAATAGGATTAAGTTACATTCCTCCTCAAACAACCTGTAAACTCTCAGGGCCTGACTAATCTCTCAGGTTTGAGGAATTTAAGACTCCTCCTCCCTGCAACTAAGAACCTAAGATACCCTGAAGGAGGAGGGTGGGTACTTTTCTAACCTTTATGTAGACCAGAGATTCCAGGACTCAGGAAAATGGGAGAATTAAAAACAAAGGGGGCATGTCATTATCACTTTCCTCTCTGAGAGAACCCCACTCTCTCCCTTGAGAAGGCCTCTTGCCCTCTTCTCTTTTCCCTTCTACTAAACTTTGTTACACTAAGTCTCACATCTTGCCTGAAATTTTCTCAAACAAGAGCACAAGAAATGAGAACACCAGGCAGTTACAAGTGGCGCAGTTAACAAGAAGCCTGTGACAATAATTCCAGATGTCTTTCATTGGAAATATTTTATGTAACAAATTGAAAACCTCTGTATGTCTTTTATAGCAATCTGTTTCTTGTTTTAGCAGCCATGGGAATTCATAGGGCAATGGACTTTTAAAAGATGTCAGGTTTAAGTTGACTGATATTTTAGTGTTTTAAAATTGCAACCTAAAATCTGTTTTGATGGGGCACCAGGTAAAATCCCAATAGCTACAAAATACATTTGAGCAGTTAATGTGATGCTGGTTAGTAAACAGGTTTTATCTCTTATAAAATGCATGTTCAGACATATCATCGTGGTATTTTGCTTGCCAATGAAGTAATTTCACAGAATAACTATTCAGTTATGCCTCCATAATCATATATTTACATGTTTTAAAAAAGATACTTTTAACTAAATTTGATTTTGGATGGTCATCTTTCGGGATAGCTTCCATAATGGCACTTATAAAGGAAAGCTTTCTATAGTGGTTAAATGTAAACACAAGCTTTTTTGTTGTTGTTCTACATACAACTTGGTTAGACCAGATTGCTTATTAAGTATAGGAATCTTCTTGTGCCCCTTTATAAGTAAAGAATGCATTTTGAAACTGGTTGCAGACTTGGAAAGGATAGGACACCCCATGAGTCAACATTTTAGTAATGAAATGATAATTTAGAAGCAAGTACCTGGCTCATAGGGTTTAATAAATAAACTTTTGTTATGTGATTGAATAAATTAACTATGTTTTTTAAAGAACAAAAAGCAATATAAATATCTTAATAATTTACATCAATAGTCTTTTTTTTACAATATCTTTGAGTCATCAAGTACTTTTTTTTATTAATGTATAACTTATATAAAGTAAAATTTGCCTATTATATTGTATATGTCTGAGTTTTGGCAAACACATACAGTGTGTAACTACTACTATAACCAAGATCCCATAATCTATCATCCCAAAACTGTCAGTCCTTTCCCTAGCTTTTGGTAACCCCATATCTGTTCTTTTATCCCTAAAGTTTTAACTTTAGGTATCCTTTTCAGTCTGGTGTTTTAGCCAGACACATTTGGAAGCTTTGTTCAATTGTTGCATGTTTAGGTATTTGTTCCTTTTTATTACTGAGTAGTGTTCTTTTGTATGGCTATACTGCAGTTTGTCCCTTTCCTGGTTGAAGGACATTTGGATTATTTTCCATTTTCAGTGTTTATAAGTAAACATAGATTTTATTTCATTTAAGTAAATAAGTAGTAGGATTGCTGAGTTGCATTGTGAGTTAATGTTCAACTTAAGAACCTGCCAAATTGTTTTCCAAAGTGACTATAAAATTTGGTGTCCTAGTAGTAGTGATGTGATTTTCAGTTGCATCCTTTCAGTGCTTGGTACTGTCATTTAAACATTTTTTTTTTTTTAGCTATTTGAATAAGTGTGCAGTGATTTTCCATGTGGTTTTGATTTCCCTTTCCCTAATGAATAATGATGTTGAGCATCTTTTCATGTGCTTGTTCATCCTCTATATCTTCTTTAGTAAAGTGTCAATTCAAATGTTTTGTTCCTCTCCCCACCTTTTTAATGTCCTCCCCTCTTTTGGGTAGAGTTCTTTTATATTTTGAATCCTTTATCAATTATGTGAGTTGCAAATATTTTCTTCCATTTGGTGATTTGTTATTTCATATTCTTTTTTTTTAGTAGTTGTTGATGGACCTTTATTTTATTTATTTGTATGTGGTACTGAGAATTGAACCCAGTGCCTCACTCATGCTAGGCAAGTACTGTCACTGAGCCACAACCCCAGCCCTATTTCATATTCTTAATGGTGTCTTTCAAATAAGAAGAGGTCTTCATTTTTATTAAATCTGGTCTGTCATTATTTCTCTTCTATGGATTTGTGCTTTTATGAAAACTTTTTACCTTTTTACCCAAGGTCATAAAGATATTGTTTTTGGCAGACATGGTGGCACATGCCTGTAATCCCAGTGATTTGGGAGGCTAAGGGCAGGAAAATTGCAAGTTGGAGGCCAGCCTGGGCAACTTAGCAAGATCCCATCTCAAATAAAAAAAACAAAAAGGGATGGAGGTATAGCTCAGTGGTAGAGTGCCCAATGGGTTCAATGCCCAATATTTATTTTTCTCTCTCTCTGTCTCACACACACACAGACACACACACACACACACAAAGATTTTGTGTTCTAGGAAGTTTTTAATTTGGGGTTTTATAGGTCTTCTAATAATTAGCTGTAGTTTTTTTTTTTTTTTAATTTTTGTCTTAACCCCAAACAAGGTAAATTTCCCATTAATAGTATGGACAGTGTCACTGCAGGTTTACAACATGAACTTTTAGACTGAATCTAACTATACAATTCATAATGATGTTATTCATCATCCTAGGTTTGTATTATTTTAGTATTATTGCTAAAATGCTACAAATGTTTTTGTGTGAAGTGGTTCAAATAACTAAGTGTGCCTTTGAAATAATAGTTTCTTAGTTTGCATATTTATCTTTTATTTTTGTTAAAATTTCTCAATTCATATTGGATTATGTTTAAGCTTGAGTGCTTAATTTTATACAACAGAATTGAGTTGTAGATTTTTCGTTGTTGTTGTTGTAGATGGACACAATATCTTTATTTATTTATTTTTTATGTGGCGCTGACAATTGAACCCAGTTCCTCATGCATGCAAAGCAAGTGCTCTACCACTGAGCCATAACCCCAGCCCCAAGTTGTAGGTTTTAATGTGTATCTAAGAAGAGTAAATGCTATAGTAAATCTTGAGTGCTTATATGTGACTCCATTTGAATCCAGGTTTTATAAGTTTATGGAACTCCTGAAGAGCATTTTTAGTTATATAAACTATTTTACTTTGCATGGCTCTCTGTCCTCTCCTCTTCTTTTACTTCTCTTCCCACATCCTCTTTCTCACTCACTTGCCCTGTTGCCTGCTAGAGTGTTCTCTCATGAGAGCTTTAGTGGTGCCTGTAATAGAAGATCCTCAGCTGACTGACAGCTAAGTGGGGGGATAAAGTCAAGGTAAAATTTAGGAACTGAATTGTATTAGGAAATTGGATGGATTAAGGAAGTGAGTCTCCAGCTGGCATCAGCAATTGAACTTTCAAGATAGCAAAATATAGTGAAATTAATGGTAAACAGGTTCAGGGTAATGTTACAAATAAGATATTTTGACTCACTTTTTGTATCTTAGCTTTTTACATAGTTGTAGATTTCATAAACTCTAATTTTAAAATAAAATAGATATTTAGAGATGGATATTTTGGATTGAATAAAGATGTGTTTAGTTTGGAATTATGTCATCAGACTTTTTGCTGAAATACTGTTTTCCTTGAAATAAATTTCTTTTCTACCTTAGTTTTATTATTATTTTCATCATTTATTATTTTGGAAAAACTGTATGAAACATTTTTTCTTTTGCTTTCCCAATGTCATTCTTAATCTTGTTGAGTTTGATTTCCAGTCCTTAGTGACTGCTATGTTTTTGGAGGAAGAGGGCTGTCTTAGTCCATTTTTTTTTCCCCCTGCTTTAACTGAGTAACAGACTGGGTAATTTATAAATAATAGTTATTTGGTTCATAGTTCTGGGGCTAAGAGGTCCTGTATCTAGGGGCTATGTATGCTGAGGGCCTTCTTGCTGTGTCATAATGTGGTGGAAGTTAACAAATACATGATCAGAATGTGAGTGTATGAGAGAAAAGGAGAGAGCGAATAGGGCCAGACTCCTTCTTTTATCAGGAACCTACCTACTCCCCTGATAACAAACCCACTCCCACTGTAACTAACCCATTCCTATGATAACTACATTATCCATTCATGAAAAGCCCTTGTGACTATGTCTTAGAGATTCCACCTCTTAATACTCTTGCTTTGGAGATAAGTTTTGGTGGACACATTCAAACCATAGAAGAGGCAAAATTTAGTTGATTGTGAAAACCCCATCAGATAATTAATTTAATAAAATCCAAATGTTAATTGGTAATTTACTTACATGTAGCTTTTCGAAATTATGTTTTCATTTACTTTTTTTTTTGCATTTTGATACAATGACAGCTGAGCAATAATTGCCATCTGTCCATTTTCAGATAGCAATTAGCTAAATATTATTGTTTTAATAATCTTATTAAGATTTAGGCAATATACATAAAGTATTTCATTATCTGAGTTTTTTTTTTAATGATAGATTTATGTTCTATCCCTTTTCCAGGTCATCCTGTTCAGTTCTACAGCATGAATAGACCTGCTTCTCGCCATACACCCCCAACAATAGGGGGCTCCTTGCCCTATAGACGCCCTCCTTCCATAACGTCACAAACAAGCCTTCAGAATCAGCTGAATGGAGGACCTTTTTATAGCCAGAATCCAGGTCAGTTTTTTTTTTTTAATTTTATAGAATATATCTAACTAAAACCTTCAATTAAAAAACCCTTTAATTACAAATAATTAGCACATGGTGGGTGGTTGGAACTATTTGTTGCATGAATGAATACTAAATTGCTAATAACACTGTATTTCTTATTTCTCTCTTTTAAGAAATCAGCACATTATTTTCCTGTAAAATTATATAACTTGTTTTTTTCTGAACAGAATTCTTTTGATTATGATAGTGGTTATTTGCTTTAAAAAATATTGTAGGGCTAGAGGTATAACTCAGAGTCTCAGAGTGCTTGCCTAGCATGTGTGAGCCCAATGCTGGATAAAAAAATATATATATAGTGAACAGTATTTCTTTTTTGTTTAATGAGACAACCTTACTCTATGAATTACAAATAATGAAAAGTTGAGTGACCATGAAGCTGTTTTGTGCTAGGTTATTATACTATTTTATTCAATTCTCATAACAGACTTTTGATGGGAAAACTGGGACTTGGAGAAATTGACCCAAAAAATTATAGTATACAATTGCATCATACATACAGGAAAAAACTGATCTAGCACTAATTTTTATGCTATACATACTCATTGTTTTGTTTATTCCCTGGAGGGGACATGAGCAAATTAGACATGGTGTGTCCGCTTGTTATGTTTTTCTGGACTTTTGCTCACAAGCTATTAAGCCTGTACATAAACACCTTAGATATTAGGGGATGATGATTCATTCTGTCTTTGAAAAGCCTTGGCTTTCGTGGAGCATTTGTCCACTGTGGCTACTGCCTATTAGTGAAAACCTTAGTTACAAAGAATCATGCACAAGAAAGAAATTTGATCCTCTTTGTACATAAACATTTACAATTTAAAGAATGCTTTTGTATCTGTATCTCACTTGATATTATAATCATATACAAAATAAAATTGGTGATCATTTTCGTATGTATTTTGCGTATGAAATCAAGGCCAAGGTGGGATTTGAAGGTTTTTTTGACTATGAGTTTTATGTTCTATTTTCCTATCCTACTTACCTTCAGATTTAAAATTTTTTCTCTTTCCTTCCCAGGTCTTCTCTTTTTTTTGGTGGGGGGAAAAAGGAAGGATATTCCCATTGTATTATAAATACTTGGGATTCTGAGATATTGTCAATCTCTGTTATATTCTGAGAATATTGCTCATTAACTAAATATTGAATGAATTACTTGTCCCTTTATCCAAATTTCTTTATTCTTTTGGGTTTCTCTTGTAAATTAAATGCTGTATTTGTAGTCTAGCTAGTGTAGACCACAGTGTGAATACCAACCTGCTTTAGTTGAAATGTACTTCTCTTATTGCTGTCTTTGATCACACTTGGTATTTTAGGTTATACCATTTTTAGAAATTCATTTTCACTTTGTTGACAAAATTGCCTGCCGTTAGTCACACATCCTACTTGTAAACCACGTTTTCTAAAACCCACATTTTTTCAAGTGCTATTTTGTACCTGAGTGCATTTGTTTGGGTTTTTTGTTATTGCTATTTGCTTGCTTATTTTTGTTTTTGAAATGTTGTCCCACTGTATTTCTCAGGTTGGTCTCAAATTCATGGGCTCAATGGATCCTCCTGCCTCAGCTTCCAGATTATCTGTAACTAAGGTGTACATTACCATGTCTGTCTCTTTAAATATATTTTTTTTATTCTTAAAATTTTATTTTATTATATATAGCCCATTTTTTAAAAAAAAATACATGATAGCAGTGGAAAGCATTGCAATTCTTATTACACATATACAACAATTTTTCATATCTGTATATAAAGTATGTTCATGCCAATTTATGCCTTTATACATGTACTTTTTTTTAGCATTACAATTCTTAATGCACACATATACCACAGTTTTTTGTATCTCTGTATATAAAGTATGTTGATACCCAGTTGAAGTCTTCATACATGTACTTTGTATAATGATGTCCATCATATTCCACCATCCTTGCTAATCCCCTGCTACCTCCCTTTCCCTCCCACCGCTCTAGAATTCATATATTCCTCCCATGCTCTCCCTCCATACCCACTATGAGTCAACCTCCTTATATCAGAGAAAACATTAGGCACTTGAGGTTTTTGGATTGGCTCACTTCACTTAGCATTATCTTCTCCAATGCCATACATTTACATGCAAATGCCATGATTTTGTTCTTTTTTAATGCTGAATAAAATTCCATTGTGTATATATGCCACATTTTTTTTTTTTATCCATTCATCCACTAAAGGGCATCTAGGTTGGCTCCACAGTTTAGCTATTGTGCATTGAGCTGCTATAAACATTGATGTGGCTGTGGCCCTGTAGTATGCTGTTTTTAAGTCCTTTGGGTATAGTTCAAGGAGAAGAATAGCTGGGTCAAATGGTGGTTCCATTTCCAGATTTCCAAGGAATCTCCATACTGCTTTCAAAATTGGCTGCACCAATTTGCAGTCCCACCAGTAATGTATGAGTGTTCCTTTTTCCCCATATCCTCACCAACACTTATTGTTGTTTGTCTTCATAATAGCTGCCATTCTGTCTGGAGTGAGATGATAGAGTAGTTTTGATTTGCATTTCTCTGATTGCTGGAAATGATGAGCATTTTTTCATATATTTGTTGATTGATTGTATATTGTATAGAGCTAATTTAAGCTCTTCTTTTCCTATACATATCCCTTTAATTTCTTTCGTCTAATTGATCTGGCTAGTGTTTCAAGAACTATGTTGATTAGAAGTGGTGAAAGAGGGCATCCCTGTCTTATTCCTTATTTTAGAGGGAATGCCTTCAATTTTTCTCCGTTTAGAATGATGTTGGCCTGAGGCTTAGTGTAGATAGCCTTTACTATGTTGAGATATATTCCTGTTATCCCTAGTTTTTGTAGTGTTTTGAACATAGAGGGGTGCTGTATTTTGTCAAATGCATCTATATTCATTAGAGATATTGGTCTGAAGTTTTCTTTCTTTGAAGTGTCTTTGGAATTAGGGTGATATTGGCCTCATAGAATGAGTTTAGAAGTGCTGCCTCTTTTTCTATTTCCTGAAATAAATTGAAGAGTATTGGTATTAGTTCTTCTTTAAAGGCCTTGTAGAACTGGTCTGTGTATCCATCCTGTCCTGGGCTTTTCTTGGTTGGTAATCTTTTGATGGCTTCTTCTATTTCCTCACTTGACATTGGTATGTTTAAGTTGTGTATATCTTCCTGACTCAACCTGGGCAGATCATATGACTTAAGAAATGTGTTGATGCCTTCAATGTCCTCTATTTTATTGGAGTATAAGGTTTCAAATAATTTCTAATTATCCTCTGTATGCTGTAGTGTCTGTTGTGGTATTGCCTTTTTTATCACGTATACTGGTATTTTGAGTTTTTTTTCTCTCTTTCTTCGTTAGCTTGGCTAAGGAACTGTCAATTTTATTTATTTTTTCAAAGAACCAACATTTAGATTTGTCAGTTTTTTCAGTTGTTTCTTTTGTTTCGATTTCATTGATTTCTGCTCTAATTTTAATTATTTCTTGCCTTCTACTGCTTTTGCTGCTGATTTTTTGTTCTTTTTCTAGGGCTTTGAATGTAGTATGAGGTCATTTATTTGTTGACTTTTTCTTCTTTTAAGGAGTGAACTCCATGCAATGAATTTTCCTCTTATTACTGCTTTCATAGTGTCCCAGAGATTTCGATATGTTGTGTCTGTGTTCTCATTTACCTGTAAGAATTTTTTAATCTCCTCCTTGATGTCTTCTGTAACCCATTGTTCATTCAGTAGCATATTCAGTCTCCATGTGATGCAGAAATTTTTATTTTTTATTTTGTCATTGATTTTCAATTTCATTCCATTATGATCTGATAAAACGCATGGTTGTACTTGCTAAGAGTTGTTTTGTGGCATAATATATGGTCTATTTTAGAGAAGGTCCCATGTGCTGCTGAGAAGAAAGTGTATCCTCTTGACGCTGGTTGAAATATTCTATATATGTCACTTTAGTCTAAGTTATTAATTGTGTTATTGAGCTCTATAGTTTCTTTATTCAACTTTTGTTTAGAAGATCTATTCAGTGATAAGAGAGGTGTGTTAAAGTCACCCACGATTATTGTGTTGTAGTCAATTTGACACTTGAACTTGAGAAGAGTTTATTTGATGAACATAGCTGCTCCATTGTTTAGGGCATATATATTTATGATTGTTACGTCTTTATGGTGTTTGGTTCCCTTGAGCAGTATGTCATGTCCATCTTCCTCCCTTTTGATTAACTTTGGCTTGAAGTCTACTTTATTTGATGTGAGCATGGAAACCCCTGCTTGCTTCCACAGTTCATTTGAGTGTATGATTTTTCCCCAACCTTTAACCTTCAGTCTATGTATGTCTTTTCCATCAGATGAGTCTCCTGTAGGTAGTATATTGTTGGATCTTTATTAATCCAATCTGTTAGCCTATGTCTTTTGATTGGTGAGTTTAAGCCATTAACATTTAGGTCACTATTGAGACATGGTTTGTATTTCCAGCCATATTTGTTTATTTTTGTTATTTAACTTGACTTGGTTTTCCTCTTTGATTAGTTTTTCCTTTAGTGTACTACCTCCCTCTGCTGGTTTTCATTGTTGTTTTTCATTTCCTCTTCATGAAATATTTTGCCAAGGATGTTTAGTAGTGCTGGTTTGCTAGCTATAAATTCTTTTAACTTTTGTTTAACGTGGAAGGTTTTTATTTCATCTTCCAATCTCAAGCTTAATTTTGCTGGATACAAGATTCTTGGTTAGCACCCATTATCTTTCAGAGCTTGATATATGTTGTTCTAGGATCTTCTATCTTCCAGGGTCTGTGTTGAAAAATCTGCCATTATCCTAATTGGTTTACCCCTGTGTATAATCTGATTCCTTTTTCTTGTGGCTTTTAAAATTCTCTCCTCATTCTGTATGTTGGGCATTTTGATTGTAATGTGTCTTGGTGTGGATCTGTTGTGATTTTGCACATTCAGCATCCTGTAGCCTTCTTGCATTTGGAT